GGATTGAACCCATGGATACATAATCACTAAACTCCATCCTCAGCCCTGCACCCCCTTTTTAAATTTTGAGAGAGTCTCACTAAGTTGTGGAGGCTAACTTTGAACTTGTGATCTTCCTGCATCAGTCTTATGAATCCCTGAAATTAAAGGCATATGCCACCATGTCCAGCCTATTATGTATAATTCTAATGCACCAATAAAAATAAATTTTAAAAAGCAACACATACAAAAGAAAGCATTATAGGAATTTATTTGATAACTGAATTAACAAAAGCAAATGTTTGTAAGTGATTTTATTTGACTTATTTATAAAGCAACCCTTGCTTTTATTTTTACAAGCATAATTTGAAAAGAAATTCCATGAACAAAAAGGCAAAATTTGTTAGCACATTCATGCACACACAGATACATACTTTAGATCATCCCATTAAAGCACAATGCTGAACTGTTAAGAACAAAATATAAAATGACAAATCAAGACATGGAAATATTCTAGTCATAAAGAATCACATTTTATAATAGCAGTACAATGGCATGTTATTATTGTGTTTAAGAATGACACTCTTATATAAGTTCTCTTGGAATTGCCAACATCTTTTCCATTTTAGAACTACGTAAAATTCAGTTCCAGTATAGTCTTTCCTATGAAACCTTCAATGACTTCTTCAGTGAGAGATAACCACAAATTGTCACTTAGGTCACCAATGACTTCAAAAAGTTCTAAAATCTAATGGAAATTCTTTAGAGTTCAATTCACTTGAAATCTCAGCAGTATTTGATATTGTTGACTACTTTCTACTTGTTTGAACATTCTCCTCCTTTTGGTTTTTGTGAGAAAAATTGCTTCTGGTTTTCTCTCTAGCCCTGTCTCTAGCCCTCTACCCAGCTATGAAATGTTACTATGAAATGTTAATGAGTTCAAGGGGCAGTCTTAGTCCAATTTTTACTATACTCTGTAGTTTCTGTTACTAAAGCATCTGTCTCACTGTACTTTCAATAAATGCTCAGATGGATATCTTTTTCTTTTTTTTGGTGGAGGAGATTTTTAGTAGGCATTTAACCTTTTTAACAGTTTAAAAATATACACAATACTAGTAATAAAAAAAAAAGGTTTACTGAACCCATATGTACCCATTAGGAACTTTACCAATTATCAATGTTAGGCTTTTGTTATTTCACCTAATCCTCACTCCTTCAACTTTTTTGTAATAATGTAAAGTAAGTCCTAGATATCACTTTATTTCACCCATAAATACTTCATTATGGTTTCTTAACAAGCATACATTTCTTAACAAGGGTACATTTAAATAAATATTACCACAAACAGATTAACTCACCAAAGAAAATTAAAGTCATTTTTTATATCATGCAATCACCAGGATAGAAATCCCCTACACATACAAGAGGTTAATCTTTTGACAGTGCTTTTGGAGCCCATCCTCTTCTTCCTTCCAAGAACCTTTACTGGAGATTACTCTGGACTTTGTCAATGCCATTCTCCTTCTCTTCAGTGTATTTGTTTTGTACTGTTTTTTTAACAAGCCTGCAACATTTTCATTATAGGTGAATTAATGTAGGACTGCCCCCTGGATAAACAAAACATCCTCAGTGCCTAGTTCACTAGGAGAACCCTCTCTTCAACTACCTCTACAGAACATATTTGAAGACATATCCAAACTTACCATCTCCATTTCTGCATACCACACAATTTGTTTTTTTTTAATTTTTTATTGTTGGTTGTTCAAAACATTACAAATTTCTTGATATATCATATTTCACACTTTGATTCAAGTGGGTTATGAACTCCCATTTTTACCCTATATACAGATTGCAGAATTACATCAGTTACACATCCATTGATTTACATATTGCCATACTAGTGTCTGTTGTGTTCTGCTGCCTTTCCTATCCTCTACTATCCCCCTCCCCTCCCCTCCCCTCATCTCTCTCTACCCCCTCTACTGTCATTCATTTCTCCCCCTTGTATTATTTTTCCCTTTCCCCTCACTTCCTCTTGTATGTACTTTTGTATAACCCTGAGGGTCTCCTTCCATTTCCATGAAATTTCCCTTCTCTCTCCCACCTCTCATCCCTGTTTAATGTTAATCTTCTTCTCATGCTCTTCGTCCCTACTCTGTTCTTAGTTACTCTCCTTATACCAAAGAAGACATTTGGCATTTGTTTTTTAGGGATTGGCTGGCTTCACTTAGCATAATCTGCTCTAATGCCATCCATTTCCCTGTAAATTCTATGATTTTGTCATTTTTTAATGCAGAGTAATACTCCATTGTGTATAAATGCCACATTTTTTTTTATCCATTCGTCTATTGAAGGGCATCTAGGTTGGTTCCACAGTCTTGCTATTGTGAATTGTGCTGCTATGAACATTGATGTAGCAGTGTCCCTGTAGCATGCTCTTTTTAGGTCTTTAGGGAATAGACCAAGAAGGGGAATAGCTGGGTCAAATGGTGGCTCCATTCCCAGCTTTCCAAGAAATCTCCATACTGCTTTCCAAATTGGCTGCACCAATCTGCAGTCCCACCAGCAATGTACAAGTGTACCCTTTTCCCCACATCCTCACCAGCACTTGTTGTTGTTTGACTTCCTAATGGCTGCCAATCTTACTGGAGTGAGATGGTATCTTAGGGTGGTTTTGATTTGCATTTCTCTGACAGCTAGAGATGGTGAGCATTTTTTCATGTACTTGTTGATTGACTGTATGTCCTCCTCTGAGAAGTGTCTGTTCAGGTCCTTGGCCCATTTGTTGATTGGGTTGTTTGTTCTCTTATTGTCTAATTTTTTGAGTTCTTTGTATACTCTGGATATTAGGGCTCTATCTGAAGTGTGAGGAGTAAAGATTTGTTCCCAGGGTGTAGGCTCCCTATTTACCTCTCTTATTGTTTCTATTGATGTGGTAAATAACATTTATTGATTTCCGTATATTGAACCAGCCTTGCATCCCAGGGATAAATCCTACTTGATCATGGTGCCCAACTTTTTTGATATGTTTTTGTATCCGATTCTCCAGAATTTTATTGAGGATTTTTGCATCTAGGTTCATTAGAGATATTGGTCTGTAGTTTTCTTTCTTTGAAGTGTCTTTGTCTGGTTTAGGTATCAGGGTGATGTTGGCCTCATAGAATGAATCTGGAAGTTCTCCCTCTTTTTCTACTTCCTGAAGTAGCTTGAAAAGTATTGGTATTAGTTCCTCTTTAAAGGTTTTGTAAAACTCTGCTGTATACCCATCCGGTCCTGGGCTTTTCTTAGTTGGTAGTCTTTTGATGGTTTCTTCTATTTCCTCAATTGATATTGGTCTGTTTAGGTTGTCTATATCCTCCTGACTCAATCTGGGCAGATCATATGACTTAAGAAATTTATCTATGCCTTCACTATCTTCTAATTTATTGGAGTATAAGGATTCAAAATAATTTTTGATTATCTTCTGTATTTCTGAAGTGTCTGTTGTGATATTGCCTTTTTCATCCCATATGCTAGTAATTTGAGTTCTCTCTCTTCTTCTCTTCGCTAGCATGGCTAAGGGTCTGTCGATTTTGTTTATTTTTTCAAAGAACCAACTTTTAGTTTTGTCAATTTTTTCAATTGTTTCTTTTGTTTCGATTTCATTAATTTCAGCTCTGATTTTATTTTATTTATTTATTTATTTTTAAATTACTGAATTTAAAACCTTGTTTTATTTAAATGTGTTCCTTATGATACAGCACAACCTTTCAAAGTCAATCAAGCATTGTAACATTAATAATGTTTCTTCCAAACTCATTCACAAATCACAGCCTACTACCCCACAGTTTCAAAAATTCGTCAAGGCAACTTCAATGTCCAAAAGAGCACAATATGACAGACTGTGGCATTAAATCTCATCTCAATGTAGATTTAAGAAAAGCAAACTAAAGCATATTATCAGACTACCAATTTTTTTTTTTTTTTGGTGGTGCTGGGGATTGAACCAATGACCCTGCACATGCTAGGCAAGCACTCTTACCACTGAACCACATCCCCAGCTCGAGGTACTTTTATTTAATATGCCTACTTCTCAACACTGGGGAGTTTTAAAAAAACAGAATCTCTTATGAAGCAAAATCATAAATAAATAAAAATTTAAAAGCACAGTACCAGGAAGAATACAGGGATGTGGAAAATGTGTTAAAAATTAAAAGGACTCACCTTTTGCTTTTGTACCTTTTAATCTCTTGCAAAGTCCAAAGATTACTAAGATTAGAATCTATTTCATAATCATACCAATTAAGTAGTTAAGAAACAAACAGGGCAGGGGGTACAGCTCAGAGGTAGAGCACTTGCCTCATGAGACCCTAGGTTAGATCCCCAGCAGTGCAACCTATCAACCAGCAAACCCCCTCCAAATGTAAAGACTGGAAAGATCTTTGTTAGTTATCTAGAATCATTTGGCCTAACATTATTTCCAATGAGTGACTGTTAGGTTTTAGGCATAAACCAACACAGAAATAATATCAGGGCACCATGGTGAGAGGGTGAGAACTTCTGATTCTGGTTTCCTATGTTTCAGGCCAGGAAAATAATAAGAGGAAACGTTTGTCATGGGAATGAGCACGTGTGCTCAAAAAGGCAATTTTATCTGAACGTATTGATTTCATTTTCTCTCAAAATTTCAAAGATAAAACATAAAATATGGGGCCAAAGGGAGTCGGTGTCTTCCAGTTTTTACTGGTGTAACAGTCCTTCAGCCTGGTGCTACAGAAAAGAATCATAAAAAAGAAAAGGAAAAATTTTATTTCAAACAGGTTCCATGGCATGCATGTTACAGCAAAGGCTGGATGTGTGGCAAACAGTTTCATTTTAAACCTGCATGGATGTATAAATTATACATTACTTAGGAATGTTTAACTTCTGTTAAAATGTAGATTCAATCCAACATTACACCAATTTTTACATTTATTGTAGATACTATATTAGTGCTAGAGGTTAAATTTTCATCATCAAAAAATGAGAATAACCTTACAGCTACCTACTAAGGTAATGAGCTGTGAAATTAATTCCATAGTATTGCTCTGAAAATATACCCCTAGTTTGTTAAGAGAAATTCCAGCTCCATCCAAATGCATTATTTAACTGGGATTCTTTAGTCATCATCTACGGTTAGCTTGATTGTCACTCGTCTTCTTATTTGACCCCAACCAATTAAACGCCAGTGTTTCTCAACTCTTCGACTAAGGGCAATCTTTTCTCCTACTTCTGTGCACACAGGATTAGTCAAAACAATTTTGCCCAAATTAGCCTTGACAGCACTAACTCTCCCTCCTGTTGACAGTGATCCTATGTTCACCATGAGCACTTCATTCTTAGACAGTTTTTGGACCTTTGCTGCTTTCTTGTCTCCTTCAGTGTGTACACCTAGAAGTCGTCTAAGCAGGAAATAGGAAATTTCCAATTCTGTGAAAATCTCAGGTAAAGCTCCAACAGCACCAAGTACCTGCCCCACCATGCTGTCAGCACGGCACAAAGTGGGGTCGATTTTTGTTCCAACTCCAATAAGACCCCCTGGAGCAGCATACTGAAGATCATTATGTTCGGCAAAAAGTGATACAATTTTGGAAAAGATTGGTTTACACATGAGTTTTCCTTCACTGTCTTTGGAAACAATACCAGGTCTGACTTCTATCTCCTGGCCCACCTTTAATACTCCTTTCAGAATACTTCCACCAGCAACACCTCCCTTAAGGTCATCAACTTCACAACCAGGCTTGTTGACATCAAATGACCTAATAACAATAAGTCGGGGTTCTGAAGTAAAGTCTCTTGGGGGTACTGGCATTTTCTTTACTATGTACTCACAAACGACTTCAATATTGTATTTCAGCTGAGCAGAAATTGGAATAATGGGAGCTCCTTCTGCTACTGTACCTTGTACAAATGCAAGGATTTGTTCATACTGTTCTTTAGCCTGACTTTCTTTTACCAAATCAATTTTATTCTGTAGAATCAAAATATGCTTCAGTTTCATGATTTCTATAGCAGCTAGGTGTTCAGAAGTCTGAGGCTGGGGACAAGATTCATTACCAGCTATCAAAAGAAGAGCTGCATCCATCACTGCTGCACCATTCAGCATAGTAGCCATCAAAATATCATGGCCAGGAAAGTCAACAAAGGAAACATGTCTGACTAATTTGAAGTTCCCTTTGGTCCCTGGAATATCTGTATGGAATTCATCCGGTGTGCCACTTCCACATGACCTATAACATTCTGGCCGAGGACAACTTGGGTCATCCAGTTTATAAATCTTAGCATTAGCATATCCAAGCTTGATTGTAATGTTTCTTTCTAGTTCATTTTTGAACCTGACAGTGTGAACTCCAGAAATGGCTTTTACAAATGTGGACTTCCCATGAGCTACATGACCAATTGTACCTATATTAATTGTGGCTTGTCTGCTGATAACTTCATGTGATAGTGGCTTCAACTTGGTAACATCCAAGGTGGCGAGATCCTGCCGAGAAAGGTGCGGCTGCCCCAGAGTCACTCCAGCCTCTCCCCCCGCCATCTTGCCCGGAGAGCTAAGCTCTGATTTTAATTATTTCTTGCCTTCTACTTCTTTTGCTGTTGTTTTGCTCTTCTTTTTCAAGGATTTTGAGATGAAGTATGAGATCATTTATTTGTTGGTTTTTTCTTTTTTTAAGGAATGAACTCCAAGCAATGAATTTTCCTCTTAGAACTGCTTTCAATGTGTCCCATAGATTCCGATATGTTGTGTCTGTGTTTTCATTAATCTCTAAGAATTTTTTAATTTCCTCCTTGATGTCTTCTATAACCCATTGATCATTCAGTAACCTATTGTTCATTCTCCAATTGATGTATGCTTTTTCCTTCCTTCTTTTATCGTTGATTTTCAGTTTCATTCCATTATGATCAGATAAGATGCATGATATTATCTCTACTCCTTTATATTGTCTAAGAGTTGCCCTGTGACATAATATATGATTTATTTTTGAGAAGGATCCATGTGCTGCTGAGAAAAAAGTGTAACTGCTTGATGTTGGGTGGTATATTCTATATATGTCAATTAAGTCTAGGTTATTAATTGTGTTATTGAGTTCTATAGTTTCCTTATTCAACATTTGTTTGGAGGATCTGTCCAGTGGCGAGAGAGGTGTGTTGAAGTCTCCCATGATTATTGTATGGTGGTCTATTAGACTCTTGAACTTGAGAAGAGTTTGTTTGACGAACAAAGCTGCACCATTGTTTGGGGCATAAATATTTATGATTGTTATGTCTTGTTGGTGTATGGTTCCCTTAAGCAGTATGTAGTGTCCCTCTTTATCCCTTTTGATTAACTTTGGCTTGAAATCTATTTTATTTGATATGAGTATGGACACTCCTGCTTGTTTCCGAAGCCCATATGAGTGATATGATTATTTCCAACCTTTCACCTTCAGCCTATGTATGTCTTTTCCTATCAAATGTGTCTCCTTTAGGCAGCATATTGTTGGGTCTTGTTTTGTGACCCATTCTACTAGCCTGTGTCTCTTAATTGGTGAGTTTAAGCCATTAACATTTAGGGTTATTATTGAGATATGGGTTGTTCTTCCAGCCATATTTGTTTATTTCTGTTAGTAAACATGGTTTGTTTTCCTCTTTGATTATTCCCCCCCCCCTTTACTGTCCTACCTCCCACTGTTGGTTTTCATTGTTATTTTCCATTTCCTCCTCCTGTAATATTTTGCCTAGGATGTTTTGAAGAGATGGTTTTCTAGCTGCAAATTCTTTAAACTTTTGTTTATCGTGGAAGGTTTTAATTTCATCTTCCATCCTGAAGCTTAATTTCGCTGGATACACAATTCTTGGTTGGAACCCATTTTCTTTCAGTGTTTGAAATATGTTATTCCAGGATCTTCTAGCTTTCAGAGTCTGTGTTGAAAGATCAGCTGTTATCCTGATTGGCTTACCCCTAAATGTAATCTGCTTCCTTTCTCTTGTAGCTTTTAAAATTCTCTCCTTATTCTGTATGTTAGGCATCTTCATTATAATGTGTCTAGGTGTGGATCTCTCATGATTTTGCACATTCGGCGTCCTGTAGGCTTCTAGGATTTGGGATTCTGTCTCATTCTTCAAGTCTGGGAAGTTTTCTCGTATTATTTCATTGAATAGATTGCTCATTCCTTTGGTTTGGAGTTCTGTACCTTCCTGTATCCCAATGACTCTTAAGTTTGGTCTCTTAATGTTATCCCATATTTCTTGGATGTTCTGCTCATGGTTTCTTAACAGTCTTGCTGAGCTGTCTATGTTCTTTTTAAGTTGAAATACTTTGTCTTCATTGTCTGATGTTCTAAGTGTTCTACTCTGCTGGTAGTATTCTCCATTGAGTTTTTAAGTTGATTTATTGCTTCCTGCATTTCTAGGATTTCTGTTTGTTTGTTTTTTATAACCTCTATCTCCCTGTATAGTTGATCCTGTGCTTCCTGGATTTGTTTGTGTAATTCATTGTCGAAGTGATCTTTCATTGTCTGATTTTGCTGTCTAATGTCTTCCTTGATACTCCAGATCATCTGAAGCATGTATATCCTGAATTCTTTATCTGACATTCCATCTGCTGCAGCTGTTACCTCTTCTAAAGTTGAGTTGAACTGCATTGCTTGTGGTCCTTTCTTTCCTTGTCTTTTCATACTGCTTGCGTTTCTTTCTGCTTGGTGAAACTGTTGTGTTTTTGAAATGTTTTTTTTCCCCCTATATATTTATATTGCTCTTGTATAGTTGAAAAGTCTCCCTTGCAGGGTCCGGCGGCGTTCTGCCTACCTTGCAGGCGCGAGCGGCGGCTCTGCTCTCTCCTTACTCCAATTGGGGTGTCGTGACTACCACACCGGCAGGTCACTGGGCCTGTTCCGGGCGCTGGCGGCGGGTCTGTTCTGCCCCTACTCCAATTGGGATGACGAGTGTATCATGCTGGCACGCCACGGGGCCTGATCCACCGGTCGGTTGCAGGTCTGCCTACCCTGCAGGCGTGGGTGGCGGCTCTGCTCTGCTCCTACTCCAAATGGGGTGACATGTCTGTTGCACCGGCAGGCCACTGGGCCTGTCCCGCTGGTCGGTCGCAGGTCTGCCCACCTTTCGGGCGCGGGTGGCGGCTCTGCTCTGCCCCTACTCCAATTGGAGTGTCGTGACTACCACGCCAGCAGGTCGCTGGGCCTGTTGCTGGCACGGGCGGCGACTCTGCTCTGCCCCTACTCCAATTGGGGTGACGTGTGTACCACGCCGGCAGGCTCCTGGGCCTGATCCACCGGTCTGTCGCAGGTCTGCCTACCTTGCAGGCGCGGACAGCGGCTCTGCCCTGCCCCTCCTACCACGCCTGTGGACCGCTGGGCCTGATCTGCAGGTTGGTCGCAGGTTTGCTCTCCCTGCGGGCACGGGTGGTGGTTCCGCTCCGCCCCCACTCCAATTGGGGTCACGTGACCACCACACCAGTGGGGCCTGATCCGGGCACGGGCGAAGGCTCTGCTCTGCCCCTACTCCAGTTGGGGTGACGTGTGTACCACGCTGGCAGGCCGCTGGGCCTGACCCGCCAGTCTGTCGCAGGTCTGCTTACCTTGCAGGCGCGGGCTGCGGCTCTGCCCTGCCCCTCCTACCATGCCCGTGTACCACTGGGTCGCGGGTCTGCCCACCTTGCGGGCACGGGTGGTGGCTCCGCTCCGCCCCCTCTCCAATTGGGGTCACGCGATCACCATGCCGGCGAGCCGCTGGGCCTGCTCCGGGCGCTGGCGGCAGCCCGGCTCCTCCCCTCTGGCTCCACGACAAATCGAGAGAGACTCGGGTGTCTGTGCCTCACCCTCCCTACCGGGAGACCCACCACACAATTTGTTTATTCTCTTCAGTGCACTACAAGTTGTCACTTAGATCACCAATGACTTCCAAAAGTTCTAAAATCTAATGGAAATTTTTTAGAGTTCAATTCATTTGAAATCTCACCAGTATTTGATAATGTTGACCACTTTCTACTTCTTTGAACATTCTCCTTTTGGTTCTTGTGAGAAAAATTGTTTCTGGTTTTCTCTCTAGCCCTACCTCTATCCCTCTCTAGCCCTCTACCCAGTTATGAAATGTTAATGAGTTCAAGGGGCAGTCTTAGTCCAATTCTTCTTTTCATGACATATCTTTTACTCTGAAATGATTTTATATGTGGATATCAGTTTAATCTGCCACATAATGATGACTTCAAAATTTTTGTTTTCTACTGAAAGCCTCCTTTTAGCTCAACCCTAAATGTACAAGTAACCTGCTTTAAATTTCTCTCTGAGTGTGCTCAAAATCACCTCAAATTTATAATGGAACCCATGTTCTTTACCCATAACTATATCCTTTTAGATGTTTCACATTTTGAAGATGAAAAAAACTTTTAATGATAAAACTAGTGTTTATTATAGGTATCTTTCCTAAATCCCTCACAATGAATCTACAGATAAGTTCTGTTAATTTTATTTCCTAGCTATCTTTCAAATTGTACCACTTTTTTTTTCATATTTGGCTTCTTAGCAATCTTAGCTGGGTCACTGTTAACTGGATCCCACATACCCATTCTTTTTTTGTTTTTTAAATTTGTTCTAATTAGTTACCTATGACAGTAGAATGCATTTTGACACCTCATGCATAGATGGAGTACAGCTTCTCATTCTTCTGGTTATACATAATGTAGAATCACACTGGTCATGTAATCATATATATACATAGGTTAATAATGTCTGACTAATTTTACTATCTTTCCTACCCCCAAACCCTCTCCTCTCCCTTCACTCCACTCTGCCCAAACCAAAGTACCTCTATTCTTCCCTAGGACCCCGCCTTTATTGTGAATTAGCATCCGCATATCTTGCCCCCTTTCCAATCACTTATGCACACAGAATTTTCTAACATAGATATGATATCACTCCTTTATCTCCTCAGTAGGTTCTAATTGCTCTTGGGATATTTCCTAATTGCCATCAGGATATTATTTTAATTCCCTGTCTTTATCATGCTCACATAATCACAAAACCTTTAAATTTGCCCTTACCTCAGAGAGATGAAAGATTTGCCTTCTCATATTGGCTTGTTAATGTTTATTCATGCTGATTTTTGTTAAAATCTTATTTCTGAGGACATTTTTCTGGCTTCCCTGAGAAAGTTGTAAATTCCCCACTATAAGAACTTAAGAGTACCCAGACCTCTAAAACATGACTATTAATACTTTACTTTTAATCTTATTATATTTAATATCTTCCCTCGATAGGTTTTAAATTCCATGAAAGTGAAGTTTCTGGTTTAATTCAGTTTGCATGTTAACATATAAAATAGCACATGGCCCACAATATGTGTTCAATAAAGTATTTTGTTAAATGACCAGAAATGTAGTTATGCTCATTTTTGTCATTTACTATTTCAAATGCATCATACATTTAAAAAAGAGAGAGTAAATCAAGATTTCTTTATCACTAGATATATTAACTAACATTTTGGAATTTCTTCGATAGTTAGATCTATCTAGTGAAAATTTTTCTACTTTGTATACATGAAAAGGCTTG